ACGTAGCCAGCGTCGCAAACAGAGAGTAACAACATAGACCCAACGAATCGACGACTGAATGAGTTGGCAACTCATTTGGTCATCGAATTTAATCGATTAAGTCGATTAGTTGTTGCACCCCTACTTGAGATAATTAACAAGTTCCTCCTGTGTAGTTCTTTGCTGATCCCTCACCTTTCTCATGATCATCGATACCCCACGGGGCGAGATCTTGTGTGGAGCCCCAGACCGAGGGCCATTGATTGTTGATTGATGCTTTCTGATGATCTTGTAGCCAATCCCAGCCTTGTTCAGGTCTACAATCTTGTCCCTGAGGTCCTTAGAGAGCTCTTTAGTCTTGCCCATGGTGGAGAGGTTGGAATCTGATTGATTGATTCTGTGGACAGGTGTCTTCTATACAGGTAACAAAGTTGATATTAGGAGTACTTTTTTAAAGGAAGAGGAGTTATGTAACCGGTCTGAGGGTGCCAGAATTCTTGTTGGTTGCAAGGGGATCAAATACTTATTTCTCACAGTTAAATGCAAATCAATTTTGATCTTTTATATAATGTCAATTTCTGGATTTTCTTTTTGATATTTTTACTCTCACTGTTAAAGGTCCCATGTCATGGCCATTTCCACTGATCATAATTTCATTGTTGAGGTCTACTAAAATAGATTTATACTGTGCAATTTTCCAAACTCACATTGGTTTCTCATACAGCATCTCTGTAAAGTATGTGTATTCACCGGTATTCACTCTCTGTCCTAAACGGCTAGTTGGAGCTCGCCCCCCCCCCCCCTCCCTGTGAGCCCAGTGTGCTCTGATTGGTCAAGCGACGTGCAGCTGCTCGTGAGGCTGTGAGCCGAGCAGTGAGGAGCTGCTGTGAGGAGCAGACAGGGCTTCCGTGTCGGCGAAACAAATACAGCAAGAACAAGCGAAACTCATCCTGAGCACACACAAACACTCACAGCCGAAGTAAAAACAATAAGTGTGGCTTGATATTGAGTAAAAAAAAGGTTTATAACGCTGTGAGAATGGGTCTGCGGAGAGCATTTCTCCGCGATCCCAACTTAGCAGTCCGAAAAACGTTTACCCATTTAAACAGTCGTGGTAGATACCTTGTTTGTTTTAAACATCATAAATACACAAACAACAATGAATACTTACAGGTTGTGTACCCGAATCTCCCGCTGGTCCAAACAAAGTAGGAACAGCATCGTTCTTCAGTGCCCTACGCTGTACATATCCGGCATGAATCGCTGAAAGGTTTGGGAAGCTTTGTTTCGTGAAAGGCTGGCAGAGGGTGCGGCCAGCGCTGCTGGGTGTGGCCATAGCTCTTCCGAAATGGAAGAATCAAATGGGCAGTGACGTATCTCCAACGAGGCGTTTTGGGGAGGTATTTTCTGTGTTAGAGTTTTACTCGCTACAGGGTGTACTTTGAGGGTTTGTGACTCTGCACACCGTTTACATGAAAACCTTCATAACACACAAGGGGACGGGTAATAACCGGAAAAGCATGACATGGGCCCTTTAAAAATAAACCAACCATTACAGTTATAGACTGTTCATTTCTTTGTAAGTGGGTGAACTTACAAAATAGGCAAGGGATCAAATACTTATTTCCTCCACTCTATCTATCTACCTATCTATCTATTAAAAGTCACCTATTGTGCAAAATGCACTTTTTTATGTCTTTTATACATAAATATGTATCCCCGGTGTGTAAGGAGACTCACAAAGTGTCAGAAAATATAACCATCTCTCTTTTCCTCCTTACCCACATCTCTAAAAACGGGGTACAACGGAGCTGATCCAGATTTGCTGCGGTCATGTCGACATTACAAAAATGTGGGCTGGCTTCACGCCCACGGCCCTATCAGAAACGTTGCTGTATCAGAAGCAATGCGCAATGTGCTTTGGAAATAATATGGTCTGTGTTTACATTAGCATCATCGCTAACACTCAGAGCTAACGCTGTACTGGAGAGAGCATGTGTAAAGAAGCAGGATATAAAAGGTACTGTCCTTGTGGTAAACCCGCGAGAGAGAAAGTGTTTGAGCTCCATACTGTTTCAGAAATAATGCTTGATGTGGTTTGGAACATAATATGGCGTTTAATCACGGCAGCGTTTAATAATAATAATAATAATAATGATAATAGATTTATTTTGTTAGCACTTTTACAGGTGCTCAAAGACGCTTTACAGATATAGTGAAAAGAAAAGAACAACAAATACATATATATAGTTAAAGTCAAATTAAAATCAAGCAATACAAAAACAATCACACATTAAAAGCCAGATTGAAGAGGTGAGTTTTTGTAAGTTTTTTGAAGGTGGTGAGGTCAGTGCAGTCTCTGATGGGTTGTGGGAGTGAGTTCCAGCGTTTAGCTGAGTTTCTGCTGGTAGACAGCCTTCTCTTCACAGAGCTCACTGCTTGCATGCAGAGCTCCAAAGGGGCGTGGCCAGCAGCAGCTCGGTTACATTTAAAGGGCTAGACCCAGAATCAGCACTTTAGTAACAGGGCTGAAATAGAGGGGTATGAGACTACAATGGGTGGTCTGTTTGGTATTTTGAGCAAAACACTTCAGAGACATTTTTTGTATACATATGGCCCTGTAATATATTGTTCAAATATAGCATAATAGGTGAGCGTTAAGGCACTGTTCCCTATTATTCATTACAAATGCATATGTAAATGTAGTGACAGGAAGGCCAGGATGCAGCCACTAATTATCTCTTGAAAAAGTGTGAATAACAAAATCTCATGAGGAATTCAAAGTTTATATAAACATTATTCTATCAAAGATCTCGGTACATTATGTCTAGTAAAAATAAACCTTACCAAACTAACACATAACCATCTAGCTTCCTGAAGTACGAGTTGGTAACATTCAGGCTTGTGTGTTAGCAGTTACAGTCGGCTTTTATGTGGATATGTAGTGTGTATTGTTTTTGTTGGAGTAGGATTTGAGTTCAAATCACTTGTTTATTGGTATGTTTGGAATGTTGCACTTACCACTAGATGGTGACTTTTCATGCTCAAGGGGCAATGGAGGTTTTCTGGGCCTGACCACATTCTAGGTTCTCCTCAGACCGAATCTTCCTCTCTAGAAACCAAAACTAGACACTTTATTTCACTCCCTCTGCCTGCTGACAGCTTGACTGCACACCACTAACCTCAGTGAATAGCAAGGGAGGGTCAAAAGAGTGAAGAAGGGGAAGAGCCATCCAGCTTCTTCAGTTCCTTTGGTCTGGGGCGTATTGCTTTCAATCACAGCAGGCAGAAATTAAGTCAAAATGCTTCCAAAGCCTTGCTAGGGGCTTGGAACACAATCAGTCTCAATAATGACAAAGTGGACTAACCATATTTAAGTCATCCTACAACTCATATTTCTAATTGAGTACATATATTTACTGTGTGTATGATTGGGGGCATTTAGCATTGTAAACTAAAAAACACTTCCTTTGCAAGGCTGTGGTAACTTCAGAGGCCATCCTTACCATGACACTACTTTAGGAGCAACAAATTCAGGCACCAGCTGACAGTTTTATGTGTTGGATACATTGAGTAGCCTTAAGGTAACGTAAATACGTGTAAGGCACTGTATAGAGCCGCTGTGCGGTTTGTCTGTTTTGAGATACTCTAGAAGATGATGGTTAACACTTTGAACCCCATGGTACAGGAGCTGGATAGGATAAGGTCTAATTTTAAGGAAAACACAACTTAGTTTCAGGGGATTATAATGAATACTCATTTATGGATATTATATTCCACTGTTAATGAATGATCCCCCTAAATACATACAGTAGTTACAGTGTTATTTCTCACTACTAAGAGACAATCATAGCTACTTTACAAGAGGGAGCTTGACTTTTCTTCATACCTTTTCACAAACACAGTTCTCTACAGTGCAGCAGTACAGTGGTATCTTTGGCCGAAAATCTCAAACTGAGTATTTCACTGAGCAAATTTAAAGTGGCTTAAAAACATGCTACAAATAACCATTTAGCATGTGCAAATGACATTTTAACTATAGCAGGAGCATGTTGGCTACCATGATGCCTGCTATTATAAGATGATTGTATTGTCTGCACTTCTGTCTTGTTGTTGTGTTGCTTCCTCTTGTGGTGTTTCACGATAGGACCATAATAGAAATAAGCCTTCAGATTTATAGTGTTTACAGTGATTGTGCAGTGTATATATGTTTTTTTTATTCAACAATTAGAACAGTGAATCAATCCTACTAAAGTTGTATTTCAGGGCTTATGAGAGGCCCTCAATTAATACAAACATATTAACATAAATATATATATATTATTTGTTGATATATGGGCCAATTTTCTTAAAGTGTAAAGAAAGATTTAAGCATTTATGTTCAATAACCAATCCTACACACTATTGAGTAAGCAGTGTCATATTGTGCAGCAGTGGCTTTGGTCAGGCATATCAAGGGGGCTTTCAGTCACTAAGAACGCTTTTCTGAAGCGGCCGCTGAGCTACTGATGATGTGGTGCTGTGGGAATGGGAGAGTTGAAATTCCAATGGGTGGAGAGGCTTTGTTCTGAGACGGAATTAACCAACAATTCTGTTTTACATTTTGTGTCTTAATAAAAGTCAATAAACCCCAAATGTTGGACTGACATTTGTGCCAAAAGCACTTGAGAGTTAACATTTGCAGTGAAATGAGTCACAAAGTACTTGTTTTCAACAGTTCTCAATACATGGTGTCTGTACCTCAGTTATCAATAGTGCTGTGTAAGCTTGCTGCCAACATGGCTGCCTCATTATCTCCAGGTCACAACTCTGTTTCCAGTCTGGTCTTGAGTGACAGGGCTTCTCTCTTAGTTTTTTTATGACAAATATGATAGTAGATACTATACTTTTATTTTAGTCTTGTGTAGCCTTAACATGTCAAACAAGGGAGAATTCTGTCCTACTAGAGGTCAAGCTTTTATGAAAGTTGCATTTTGCTTCCAAACTGTTGTTGATGGCAGATATCTGTTTTTGTTTTGTAGGTATCAGATCCACACAGGCCTTCAGCACTCCATCATCCGGGCTACCCAGCCCAACTGCCTGCCCCTGGAAAATGTCACCTTGCCCCAGAAGCTAAAGCAAGCAGGCTACTCCACCCACATGGTGGGGAAGTGGCACCTGGGCTTCTACAAGCGTGACTGTCTCCCCACACAGCGTGGCTTCGATACTTTCTTTGGTTCCCTTCTTGGAAGTGGGGACTACTACAGTCACTATAAATGTGAAGGGCCTGGAATGTGTGGCTATGATTTGTATGAAGGCGAGGAGGCAGCTTGGGAACAGGACCGTGGATTGTATTCAACTGTGATGTTTACCCGAAAGGCTATCAACATCTTAGCCAATCACGATCCTCGCAGACAACCCTTGTTCCTCTATTTAGCCTATCAGGCGGTTCATTCGCCGCTGCAGGTTCCGGCCCGCTACCTTGAGCGCTACAAGGGGATTCCAAACATGCATCGTCGTAAATATGCCGCCATGGTGTCGTGCCTGGACGAATCTATCCACAACCTCACGTTAGCGCTAAAGCGCTACGGTTATTATGACAACACGGTTATAGTGTACTCCTCAGATAATGGAGGCCAGCCTTTAGCAGGTGGAAGCAATTGGCCTTTGAGGGGAAGTAAAGCCACCTACTGGGAAGGGGGGATCCGGGCAGTGGGTTTCGTTCATAGTCCACTGTTGGTAAACAAAGGGACAACATGTCGGTCTTTGGTCCACATCACTGACTGGTTCCCTACACTGGTGACTCTGGGTGAAGGGACTTTAGACGAAGATCTAAATCTGGACGGGTACGATGTTTGGGAGGCCATCAGTGAAGGCCATCCATCTCCTCGCCATGACATCCTTCACAACATTGACCCAATCTACACAAAAGCTAAAAATGGTTCCTGGAAGGCCGGGTATGGTTTATGGAACACGGCCATCCGAGCTGCGCTGCGAGTGGGCCACTGGAAGCTCCTGACGGGGGTCCCTGGTTACAGCGACTGGGTGCCCCCGCAGACCTTCTCCAACCAGCGGCTAACAAACCGCTGGCATAATGAGCGCATCCGTTGGGACCGGGGTAAGTCCATCTGGCTGTTCAACATCACAGCTGACCCCTACGAGAGAGTGGACCTGTCCCAGCGATACCCCCACTTAGTGAAGAAGATGCTGCTACGGCTAGCGCAGTACAACAGGACTGCAGTGCCGGTACGCTACCCGGCCAAAGACCTGCGCTCTAATCCTCAGTACAATGGGGGTGTGTGGGGCCCCTGGTACAAAGAGGAGAGGGAGGAACCAGAGGAAGATGAGAGATACAATAACTTGCTCACCAACCACCTTGGAAAAAGGAGGTGGAAAAATCAATCAAATAACAGAAAGCTGAAAATGAAGGTAGAAGAGTAGCCTACCACATTTGTGAAAAAAACTTCAGTTGCCTTTCTCAGGGATTGACACTTCCTGCCTCAGGATTGTCCTCTTCGGATGATCTTACTCTAGCTAGTTTGAACTTGATTCCACTACATACTGTATGAAAAATAATGCAAATGGACCTATTGAAATGTGTCAAGAGAATAAGAAAAATATCCTCTCATTCAAACACTGGCGTCATGCCCAGACACAACTAAGACCTCATGTTAATGTTAGGAGCATTTAAAGAATGATCCTTTCTTCTAGATTGTTTTGCATGTTTGAACTGTTGTCACCTTTTGATTGTTCTGTAGATTTATGTCCCAATAAATGTTCCTAGACAGTTGCCATACATTTTGGTGACAGAAAATAGAGTAAGACATAGTTCTATTATGTTGTTGATAGCTACGATACAGTATCGTGGAAACAGATTGATGTGATGTTATGTGTGTTTGAATTGATGTATGTTGGTTTTATAAGCACAGTCTAAAACTTTAGAATAATAGATTTAGGTCCCTTTTAGATGATGTCTGGTCTGGCATAAGGCCAACCCGAATGTAAGACAAGCTAACAAAATAAAAGCCCCGGACACAAAGCTCTTTGTTTCCAGCAATCTTTTAGGCTGTCTGGTTTACATTTCATGACAGAAAGATTTACTTTATTCTGATGACAATTACTATTAGTGGTAACTGGAAACTTTCATTATAAGAAGCTCACACGTCCACTAAGTATTTATTCTAGCCAGCTCCCGTCGTTCACTTTAAAGAGCCGGCTCTTTGAGCCGGCTCTTTAAAGTGAACGAAATGGAACTATTCACGTGGAGTGAAAATAACAATCTGTATAAATATATTTCTCATAGAAATCTGTTGCTAGGCACCCGTGTAAAATTCACAAAGCTCAAAATGTTGATGTCAGTCTTGAGCTGTTCATGAGTTGTGCAAGGCTTTGGTGTACTTTACAGGCCAATTAGCTATTTTAATGACACTAAATTACTTCTAAATGTACTGTACCATAAAAGATTTATAGTTCCCTAAAAATGGAACATGTTCTGTGCTGTTGTTATTAGCTCCTATTTGTCTTTTTAATAAGCAGCTTTCAAAAACAATACAAGGCTTTGGCTCTGTTACAATCTGAGATCTTGAAATTATTTTGAACACATGAGTCAACAGGGGCTCCACAGAGAGAGGGACTTTCCTAAGGCTGCAACCCCCCCCCCCCCCCCCCCCCCCCATTCACTGCAGCCTCTGCCTCGCACTGTACTCAAAGCCAAGTGATGACCTCAGCCCATTCAGGCACCGACTTCACTTTCCAACAGCCTTTGTGATAACAATTGATGCTGATCCAAAGCAGGCAAGATTATACCCTTAGGAATAAGAATTAACCTGGCTAAGCTTGTCTTCACGCCTGACCGTAAAACACTAGGGATGCTCTCCATATTATGACCCACAGCTGAATTATAGAAGATCAGATGCTTGTTTTATTGCGTTGTGCTGAGCTTCCTTTCCCATGGACCTTTGGATCAGTTCAAACCTGGATTTTCTGGGAATTCACAGTTGCTTTCAGTTAAGGGCATTACCATCCTTCTTCTTGTGGGAAGAAACAAGGCATTTTTTCCTTTAACCAAGCTGTAAGGCAATACATCAACACCCCCCCCCCCCCCGCATCCTGCCCCCCTCACATTAAGAATGCCCATTTGTGCTCATGTGGAATGATATGAGAAAATAAGCCTGATTGCAAGTGCTCCGTGTGAAACATATAGTTTTAAGTCCTTGCATAATCAGGGTGGAAGTAAGCTGAATTATGTGTAGCCAACTGGAAAGAGAGGACCGCCTCGCTGCCAAGAGCTGCATGTGAAACACCATGACTCAGCTAGGCTGTGGCTCTAAAGCGTCTTTCCCAAAGTCAAGTGATGAAAAACAAGACAAATCCCAAGCAGCTGTTGCCCAAAAGAATCAGAATTAATTCAGAATCCATGAAACATCCTGTGAACACCCCCCAAAAAGCCAAAACAAATTCAACGCCTGCAGAGCCTAGTCAGAGCGTGACACATGGCGGGCTTTGCTTTCCAGCTACTTGGCAAAAGTGGGACATTCCGATCATCAGACGTAGTTGAGTCTTTTCATGTGGTTGTACGAGCATTAGATGATGCCCTCAAGTTTGACTGACATCATAGGAAATCCTGCCTTGGAAGTGAAAAAGTCTGCAAAATGATAAAGTTGATCTTTGTTCCTTTAAGAAGCATGTTGGAGTTCACATGTACATAGTGTACCTGCTGGCAAAAAGACTGAGCATACTGTACTATTATAATTATAGAACAAGGTACATACGTTTGAGCCACATTTATTGCAGCCCATATGAATATTAGGTTTGTGAAAAAAGTGAGTTAGTGTATTGATGGAAAGTCTCCTGGCTGCTGTCTCTCTCCAGACATGGGGATTTCCTGTAATGAACAATTTCACCCATTAAAAACTGGTCGTTTTCTTTGCCTTTAACAAAGGTCCAGCCCTCTTTTTACTTTCATTAATCATATTTGCCTATATTTATATTTTTTGTATCAGCCATTCAGACTGTTTCCTTTTTCTTTTTCTCCGTCATTCATCTTGTGATCTTTTCATGCCCTCTTATCCACCGTCTTTCTTCCCTTGCTCCCTGCTTAGCTCAGCGGAAGTCTTCCAAAGGTTCAGATCATGTTCAGGCCTGTGGATTGATGTGTTGGATCTTAAACACAAACACAATGCCTCCGTCTCTCAGCAGTAGTGAGCCCCAGGCCAGCTCTAACACACTTCCTCCTGATTTCTTTGCATAGACAAGACAAAACAATTTGAAGGAATCAGTTCATCAGCTACAGACGATAAGCTTTGCTGTACCAAGGCCAAATCGTGCTGCCTAGTCTCTTGTCCAACAAGCTCAACACTGTGTGACCTGTTGCCATGTTCCATGCATCACTACAATGTATGCATCTAAAAGTGACTCCAGTATAGAATATAAACTAAAAAAGTGCTCAAGACAAATGGGATTTTTTTCCTACACCTGTGATAATAAAAGTGTTTCTTGAAATTAAAACCATATTAGTCTTCCAGCATTATGCTTTCATTTATCAACAGTAACTGTATATCAAAGCAATCTGCAGATTGCAGGTAAATAAAACATATATCCAGCTTAACCTGGTGAGGATTTGCTCAAGCTATTGACATTATGACACTTGATAAACACAGCTAAACATGTACAAATTAAGATAGGTTAAACTAGTGTTCTTTTTCATCCAGCAGATTCCAAGCTGATTAAATCAGAATTACAGATTGTCATACCGGGCAGCTATCTTTGAAAGAACACCCTCTAGAAGACTATTCTTGTGTATTACAATTGGTCAGTGGTGGAAAGTAACAAAGTACATTTACTCAAGTACTGTCCTCAACACATCTTACATGGTACTTATACTTCTACTCCACTATAAAGTTTGAAAGCAAATGTTCGTACATTTTACTCCACTACATACATTTTACAGATTTATTTACTAGTTACTTTACGAATTCAGATTTTGACACACAATACTTAGGATACACTTTTAAAATATTATTATCTGGTATAGTTTAAACCATCCAACATTATATTTAAAGGACACCTATCATGCTATATTTGAACAATATATTGTAGGGCCATACCTATATAAAGTATATAAATATAGTTTTTTTTTCAGAATACCAAACAGATCCTGCATTTTAGCCATGCCTCATTTCGCTCCATTTGCTCTTTCCAGCACTGTTTTTGCAGGGGGCTGATTCTGTGAGCTGCAGCTGACCACGCCCCCCTGCAGGAGAGGGGAGCGTGCTCTGATCAGCTGCTGGGCTGTCAGAAGAGGGGGGAGATCTCCGTCCTCCGTGTTTTATTATATTATTATATAGAGTCGTTATTCATTTGTTTTAAAGCTCAATAAATAACAAAGAAGACCTTTGACCGGCACTTTTCTCATTTTGTCCGGAAGATTTAAACTTTAACGGACATCTTGACCGGCGAAAAAAAAACCTAACTGAAACTCTGCCGCACGGTCCCCTCGTTCCTTAGAAGAGGCGGAGAGGTGGGTGTTTGTCATCTGCTGGTGGACTAACCGGAGAGAATTACAGTGCTTGCCTCGACGGGGAGGGATTGCATTGAATTAAAGCAGCGGGAGCAAACGCTTGCCTCTGGGAGGGAGAAAAAAAGCCACAGCGGAGAATAAACAGAAGGGCAACCATGCGTGGGAAGTCTTCTTCACTGCTTTTGTGGCAGACTACAGCGCCACTTACAGGCCTGGCATATGTACTACAGCATCTCCAGCGCTTTCGAGCGGCAATGGCCGGCCGTGGCCCAACCCCACATTCCCCTGATAGGTGGAGAGTTGGCCCAATAGCCGTAGCGCCACTGTCCTGACGTCAGTAAAGTGTTCAAATCTGGATCAGTTTTTATCAGATCCGTTGCAGCCCCTTTTTTAGAGATTTGGGTATGGAGGAAAATAGAGAGGGTTGTGTTTTCTGACACTTGGTGAGTTCCCTGGAACACCGGGGACACATTCATGTATAAAAGACGTACACAAGTGCATTTTGCATGATAGGTCCCCTTTAAGTAACTGAAACCATGAGGCTCTGCAAGGCACTTTATAAACTCAGATTTGAGATAAACACTGTATAAATAAACCTGATTATAGCTGCCATTGAAATGAATGTCTGAGTGTACTGTATATTGTTCTTTTCCTCAACACGTCTCCTATGTGAGGGCTTCAGTTTATATCTACAGTTCACGCATCCATCAATCTCGCTCCGGTGACCTGACCCTGGGTGGAAAGCAGCTGGAGAAGAGGTGAAGGTCCAGCTGTGGAACCTCAACTCCAACTGGATCTGACATGCAGGCCTCAACCCCCCTTTCCCCCTGGGCAGACTGAGGAGAGGGGTGGGGGGGGGGGGGGGGGGCAGGCTAGTGTCTTATTAAATCAAATAAGGTTCAATTACATTTGTGTCAATGATAATTTGAGTTACGACTTGGTTCTTTATAGTTTTATCATTAAAAATATGTCAGATGGGGTAAGAAACACAATCCTTAAGGTGAGCCACACTTATTGGGGGGAAAAAAAATGGTCAAACATTCCTCACAGCTTGAAGGGAGACCCTTTTTCCCCAGAGTCAGACCAAATGTTCAGGGTGATATAGAGCCAGGACACAGTAATCCAAGCTTAGCATAAATATAGGAACAGGTGGAAGAAGCTAAAAAAAAAAGAGGCAATAAAACCTGGAAAGCACACTGAGAACCATGTTCTCTGTGCACAAAACTGAAATGTAAGATTATGTATATTCGAGGAAAATGCTAGGACGTCTTCTCAAAATATAATAGATTAATCCGCCCAGTATTTCTGTTTAGTGCCTCTAGCCATAATGCAAGTGAACACATGTTGGTCTGTGGCAGGCATGATGCTATCAAAGCTGGTATATGTGACTGCGCCCGGCTGGGTACAACATGTTCATCTGTCTGATTCCTGCCTCTTGCCCCATCTGACTCTGTTATACACATTAATTATTATGACTTACTATCTCATTATATTTAATCCAAATAATGAGATAGTAATTC